GCCTGAGCTGACTAAGACACATCTTTAACACTTGATATGCTTATTGGTTTCCATCTATTTCCTTTTACTGTACTAGGAAGGTGACCTAGTGTGACCTAGAAAAATGAGACTGTGTCTTATTTCTGAATCCCTGTGCCTAGTACCTTCTCTGAGATAGGAAAATATGGATGAATGGGTGGAAGGAAGGAAAGAAGGCAGGCAGTCAGAAAAAAAGGGCTTTTTAGACTATTTTCTTCAATGAATTTTGATTGTTTTTGTTTCTTTCTACCATTCTGCAGGTCTGTCTTTCCCCCTATCTAGTACCCCAGTGGCCATGAGCTCAGAAGATACAAGATAATGCCAACAGGCCTGATTTTTCCAAACTTTAGATCAGAGACCAAGAATGAGGACATTGCATTGGAAAACTCTTCATGGGTGGGAGTAGGGACAGGAGAATTCACTCAAAGAGTTTTTTCTCTTTCTTAGGTTTATTATCAATTGAAATGAAGAACAGGGCTGGAGATTAGTAGGGTAAAAATTTAACTAGGAAGATAATTCTGCTAAAAAAATGTAATAAACAGTTAAACACTAAATAGTACATTTATACACACATAAAATGAATGTTGATCCTCTTTGGATTTATCTGTGTCCTCCGCTGTGTGGGTATTTGAGAGATCAGTATAAATAATACTTTTCAGGGGAAAAAAGGTTACTCCTAAAGTATCTTGTGTGATGTCATTTGTTATTTTTATTTCAAACTAGGTGTCCTGAAATGTCCTAAGAGTGTTAAAAGTTGTAAAAATAAAAGTATTTAACACCTATGTAATTTTTTTATAGTCAACAAAGTGCTTTATAGTTTTCATCTCATTTACTCCTTACAACAAACCCACAGGTTAGGCCCTTATAATCCCTGTCTTACAAATAACGTTTGAGGCTCAGAAAGATTAGATAATTTGCATAAAACATGTCAGTGGCAGAGTCAGACTTAAAACTAAGATCTTGTAGCTCTAAGTCCTAGGCTTCTTGCAAGAGATTTAGTAAACAAGATTTAGTAAACAGATTTTCCTCACCTGTGAATTACTGTTTTGCATTCATAACATAAACCAATGGAGGTTGAAAGAAACGGTGAAAAGTTTAATGATGCTCAACATTTATAAATGCAATGTATTAAAAATAACAAGAACAGAAAATCCATAGTTCTGTAGGTTTTTCAATCTGTTGAACATCAAATCAGATTTCCCAGTGAATCATCTGCTTCTAAATTTCAAGCTCCTATCCATTTAATAAGCCCCCTCATCAGTGAACTGAAAGGTACGTGCATTAGAATTAACCAAACACACAGACAAGTATATGGATATGTGTGTAGTTTTGTTTTAAGACACTATACCTTCTCCTCCAGATGAACTTGGATGGAAAAAAATTCAATCAAATTAACATTGTTTTTCCTGAGTTGACCAGAGGGTTAATGCCTTGTCCAGTATCACTCAAGGTTCAAGGAAATCCAAATAAAGGCTTTGATGTTTCTCTCCACACCCTAATGTATCTCTTGAGCACTTTCTTGTCTTCCTTCCTGGCCAGGCAGGGGTTTAGCCATAGTGACCAGGAAGAGAGTGTGTATTGTTTCTGACATGGGGAGCTTTTAGTTTCATTAAAACATCCAAGAAGGGTTGGGATCAGAAGGTCAGGGCTATAAATTCAAATCTGTAAGACTTCCACCTGCAGATGGTGGCTGTAACTGTGAATAACTCCCATCTTCCCAATGGATAAATAGTCAGTTTGGGTTCATACAAAGGGAAAAGTGCAGGGAGTCTGGGGCAGAGCTGTGGATAACGCCCACGATGTTACTCCTCTTTAAAGCTGCCCAGAGTGACTTGGGGACAGCCCAAATGTGCACAAAGAAGACAAGGACAGCAGTGACAGGAGCCATTTCAATATTGTAGTATTACAATTACCAGATGATAATGTTAGAATTTAAATCAGGGGATCATGGCTTCAGGGAAGGGTCTATAAATCCCCATCCTGGATGGCAGTGGTAGTAACACCTGTAGTTACATAACTAATCCATGGATTGTTTTTTATAGAAATGCATTGCCTTACATAGTTGCCTAGAATGACAGTCATGTGCATCTTTTCTGCCCAACCACACAATTTTGTGAAATCTTCCAGATGTTTCTACCCGTTGGTTGTCATGTCACTACAAGAGAAGCTCTAAATATGGATGTAAACTTAAGAGTTTCATTGTGCACTTCTTTTTCCAGAATATTTGTGAAAATATGATCAGTGGAAGAGCCCACTATTATACCATTTCCTGGAATGGTTCTTAATTATTCCCGTCTTGTTTGCTAAAAAGCCTATTTTTATCCATAAGCAACAATTTCCCATGATTCTATGATAATTCAAAGACCTTCAACCAAACACACAGATATTTATTGTCTTCAGTGTACAAGGCATATGGACCCTTAGCAAAACTTGTTGAAAAATATAAATAAATCACACCTGCCCCTTCTCTTTTACTCACATACTAATTTCTCTTTCAAAAGAAAGAAAACTTAAATAGATTTAAACAACTTTGCATGGAGACCCTGCTTTTCTGCATCTTGTGCTGAATGGAGGGATCAGATTTTACCAAAAATCAGCCATCCAGCAATCTTTTTTCTTCGTGGAGAATATTTCAGAAGGAACAATAATGCTACAACTGTGTCTTTATGCACAAAAGGATGGGAAGCAGTCATGTAAGAGGAGCCCTACTTGTAAGTGAAGAAAGGAAAATTGAAGAAAGCAAAAAATAATATAGCCAAAGTGCCACTCTGGAATGTATATTTATCCAGTCTCTTAGAATCCACTAGAATGTGAGTTCTGTAAAGGTAGGGTTTGCTTTTATTCATTGCTGTGTCCTCAGCATCTGGAAAACACTTGGTACATGTTAGGTGCTTAATAAATAATATGTATACTATAATAATACTTATATAGTATATACTATAAATAATATTTATACTGTAATAATACTTATATATTGTATACTATAATAATAATAATAATACTATAGTACTTAAATGAATATACAACTTACACAGAAATAAAATAGGTATCCTAATTTTGTATTATACAGTGCTTATTGGAAGCATGGGCTGGTTTATTTTTATTATATATTGTTAAATTAATATTTTGATGTCATTATTGGTATTGACTCTTTAAGCCCTAATTAGTTTATGGACCCCATGTGACCTTTGTGCGTCGAGGAGAGGATGGGACTCTGAAGGTGGCAGAATGGGATTTTCAGGAAGTCAGCTAAGCTGGGGGTGTGAACAAGTAGGCATCACACGCACACACATACACACCATAGACAGCCTATGGCTTAACCCTAAATCCTACTAGTTTGTTACCATTTAAACCTCTATTCTTGGCCTGCAGTTTTGATTATGAATTCTGGCTTGTCAGTCCGTGAACTGCTGTAGCGAACCTTTGGTGTCTTCAGCTGCTGCACTTACCTCTACTAGTCAAACGTATGAGCTCATTTGTAGCTTTTCCTATAGCTCTTAAGAAAGATCATTTTATTTACATTTGAATTTATATTTACATTTACAAAGTCAATGTGACAAAGCACTTTGATCGATTGCTTCAGACTCCAGTGTTGATTGCAGGGTCTTGGATCACCAGATATAAACTCATATATTCTTCGAGCCACACATGTTTGTGAAAGTATATCCTTCTGTCTGATGCTGCACCAGGTCCTATGGCTGTAAAGCTCTGCCCTCTGGAAGGCTCACAGAGGAGGAGAGGGAACCACGTAACAACAATGCAGTGCAATAAAACCTCTAAGAGGGACCCGCAAGGCCCGATGGAGCCCAAAGGAGTCAGTGACTGTCACAGCTGTGAGGTGCCGTCAGGGAAGGTTTTGCAGAGAGAAGATACTTGCACTAAGTCTTGAAGGTTGAATAGGGGTCCAGTGAGAAGTGTGTGCATGACGGGTGGGTGGAAGGAGCATTGTACGTGGCATACTCGAGAAAGGGCGTTTGGAAGATTCAGGTTTTCCTCACCACATTATTGGAATTAGAAATGTTGCTGATTGATTATAAAGGAACCTTGAAAATACCTGGGTACAGGCTAAACCCTCACTACTCAAAGTGTGGTCTGGTGACCAGCACCATCTGTGAGCAGGTTAGAAATGCAGACTCTCAGGTTCACCCTGGACCTGCTAAACCAGAACCTGCATTTTAACAATATCCCCAGGTGATTTGCATGTGTGTGAAAGATTGAAACTGTTCTTTTTGGAAGATTGAATCTTCTATTGGAAGAGTTTTGGGGCACTTGTTAAAACTGAAACTGATTCTTGAATGATGCAGTAAACATGTGTGAAGTTCATTATGACAACAGCATGGAGATCTATAGAGGATTTATATTAAGCCTTTGGCTGTTTAACTTGGGGGACTACATTATCCAGATAGAAATTGACCAGCACCTACACTTGGGCTGCTGCAACAGGTGGAAAACACGCTGGGCTAAGTTCAAGTCCCAGGTTGTCCTTTGATTAGGTGTATGACGTTAGGTAAACGCTTACAACTTGATGAGCATCACTTTGTCATTTATAGGCACCTCCTATGTGCCAAGCAGTATCAGGCACTTACACATACATTATTCCATTTCCTTATCTGCCAAGTGAGGGCCAACAATACCCGCCACACAGGGTGTCTCATTAGGATCCGAAGAAATAATGTGTATCACAGTGCTCTGCAAGTGATAAATGGAATAGGCTATGATTTAAATATATGCATAGAAAAATACATATTTATAGAGCATCTGCTATGACCCAAGACCTGTGATAAATTTACCTAAGTTCAAAGATATTTGTTGTAATTAAAATAGGCAAAGCAAAAGAGATACATTTCATGCTTATTTAAGGTGTGTGGTGTCAAGATGAAATTAAAACGAGCACTTAGCAGCACACAAGTCACAGAGAACATGTGACACTGGCCTTGTTCCCAGTCCATCCCAGTAATCGTCTCTACTTTCCACATTCCCAGGCATGCGCCAAGGCAGAGACTACGGCTCTCAGTACCGCTCAGCCATCTACCTAACCTCCGCCGACCACATGGAGGTGGCCCTGAGGTCCAAAGAGGACTACCAGAAGGTAGGGTCTCCTCTCGCTCCTGGGTCCCCATCGTCGGCCCCTGCCAGGTTGCGCCCCACCTGTAAAGAGAGAGTCTGGTTCTTTTCACCTGGCACTGTGTTCCATTTGCACATTTTTGGGAAATTTCTGTCAGCCTTTTGGAATAGAGCCACTCTGCTTCATAAATGTGCAAAATGAGATTTTAAGATTAGGCCCTTATGTATTTCTATTTAAAATCAACTCATCCAAATGAATATGTAGCTTAACATATAGTCTTTCTTTCTCTCTCTTTGTCTCTCTCTGAATCTCTCTCTTTTTCTTTCTTCTGTCTGTATAAGTCTGCTTGGGCTGCCATAACCACGTACCACAGACTAGGGGGCTTAAACAACAGAAATTTATTGTCTCACAGTTCTGGAGGGCTGGAAGTCCAAGATCAAGGTATGGGCAAGGCTGGTTCCTTCTGAGGCTGTGAGGGAAGGATCTGTTCCAGGCCTCTCTCTTTGGCTTGTAGATGGCTGTCTTCTCCCTGTGTCTCTTCACGTCCCTCTGTGGGTGTCTGTTTCTGTGTCCAAATTTCCTCTTTTTATGACAACTCTAGTTGTATTGGATTAGTGCCCAACCTAATGACCACATTTTACCTTAATTACTCTGTAAAGACCCTGTCTCTAAATAAGCTCACTTCTGAGGTCCTGGGGATTGGGACCCCAACATATCTTTTTTGAGGTGCACAATTCAACCCATGATGCTCTCTCTCTTGCTAGTAACAGTAGATTGAATTATAATGAAAATACTTCTCAGAAATAGATATTACATCATGAAATAATTATTTTCACTATTAACTTGTATTATATTTAAAAAATATCCTCCAATACAGATTTAGTTCTTTTTTTAAAAATAACTTGAGTTGCTTTAATTTTTAGAACTTCATGATAATGTTTAAATTTTAATTATCATGATATTTTCTGATTTGGATTCACATTTAACAATAGAGCCAGTAGCTACTGTAATGCTGATCTATTTTAGAATTATGTAAAAAGTCTGGTATGCAACAGTTCCCAGGAATGTGTGGGTTCTCCACCTATCCCCCATGGTGGCAGAGGTGGCAGTGAGGAGGAGGTGGGACAGGAGTGTATCTACTGACGAAAAAGTAGCAGGACATGCAACTCATGGTCATTTCAACTCCGAAAAGCAGAGAGGGCTAAAGGAGATGCTGACAGAAGATGCCCCATTTATTCCTCAGCAAGCCCCCTCTGCCCCTTTGTAATCCCCTCTCCTTCGGTACAGGCTGGATTTAATGACTCACTCCTAATGAATCACAGAAGTGAAGGGATGTTACAACTGAGATGAGTTTATTAAAAGATTGTGGCTTCCATCTGGGGGGCCCTCTCGCTCTCACTATCTCTTAGATCATTTACCTGGGGGAAGCCAGCTGCCATGTTGTGAGGCAGCCATGTATAAAGGCTCATGTGACAAAGAAGGAAGCCCTCCAGGCCATCAGAGGTGCTGCACCAGGAACTGCTCTCTCCTTTTCCTTTCTGGAGATGCACAGCATGAGGGTCAGATAGTCTTCCTTTCAGCCACCACTGTAAAGAGCTGAGTACTGAAAGCCACAGCCCCAGGGACCCTTGGCTGAGGTCAGTCAAGTACAGAGAGCTGTTCCCATTCCTGACACACCCATTGCCCAAGGGCCCCACCCAGAAGTCTTAGGTCAGGATTTATCCTTCTATCCTCCTTTAAGCACCAGGAACTACCAGCTCTTTTCCCCCTTTTCAGATCTGCACCACGAGGAGTCATTTTCCTTTTCAGAAACCAAAGAACAAAGTGTCTCATTGTGTCACCTACCCTGGTGAGCAGTGGGGCTAACTGCACACCTGCACACAGGGGACCACTGTGATTTTTATCTTAATCTGGGTCCCATGGAAAGCAGAGCCCATGACAAACGCTTGTGTCTGAGGACTTATTGGGGTGTGTGGTGCCATGGAGCAGGAGTAAGGGTCAGGGGAGTAGAAAGGAAAAGGGGGAGAACCAATATCAGTTGGCCATGCTATCGGTGAGGGGTTGTTTGGTCCTTATGGAATGCCCAGCCATTCCAGGGGAAGAAGAGAAGCATATGTCCATTGGATGCCATCCCCCATGGGTTTGCTCTGCACTTGCCACTTGCACATGTGTGGGCTCAGGATACTGTGTCCCAGAGGCAAGAGGCCTGTGGCATGGGTGCGACGTGAGGGGCTGTAGGGTTGCACCTACGTAAAGCTAATCAGAGCCCGTACAGAGCTGGGCAGTGCAGCGGGGGCTGGAGAAGAGAGAGGTGAGGCCGAGAGGATCTGAGCTGGTGCACGAGAGGTGGCTGATACCACGACCTACAAAGGGTCCTTCACCCACCCTGACCCAGTCCAGGCAGGCAGCTGACTACAGTGTCTCAAGGATGATTTACCAGAATCCAGTGAGTTTCTGGCACCTCTGTTAGAGCACAGAAAGAAAACACAAGTGTAATTTTCATCATGCATCCTGCTACCATCATATAGTTATATAACATACAGTTGCATATATAGTTTACATATAACGTGTATACATAGTACATTATAGCTATTAATAATAATGATGATAATAGAACAGCAACAACAGTACCAACTTAGTACTTACTACATGCTAATTACTATTTTAAGCACTTTATATAAATGAAGTTATTTATGTATCTCTGACTATATTTATCTATATACATGCATAGATATAATGAATATATTAAGATATGTATGTATGTATCTCTCTGTATACTTATGTAAAATTGTATGCATTCTTTGAAACTTGTATAAATTTCTAATTGTCCATTTAATTGGTATAATTGATAATACACACACCAAAAAAAAAAAAGAAATCAATAATTTGCAATGCCCCTGAGAGGTGACGTAATTAGCTTTTACACCGTAAAGAAGTTGATCCGTGCTTTTACCTTAGCCTTAAAGGTAGTGTGGTTTCTGATAGATCCCGCAGAACAGGGAGAGCCTCAGACTTCACCAGATGCCTTAGCGGGTGAGTGAAGGAGAGGAAGAAGCTGAAGAGGTGACTCCTGGAATTGGCTTTCCGGTGTTTTCTGTCTAGGATAACCTTGAACAAATTCCTGAAACAACAGAAGTCTTTAATCCAGGGAGAGTCATTTCTTAACAATACTAGATTGGGGCCTAGGATTCTGTAATCTCATCACAAACACTGAGGTTTATTTCTGAGAGTGGGGAGATTCTGCAGATGACTTTGCATGCATTTTGTATATACTATTTTCCCCTTTAAGAGTTGGCATTTCTGGCTCTTGCACTACTTTCTGGCAATCCATCTTATTTGAGCCCTGGTGGGACCCCTATGCACTGACTAGAACATTGACGTAGGTTCCTAATTTAATAGTCTTCACTAGTTTGCCCCCAGTGACCCCCCAGTCACCAGCTCCTTCAGCAACTTCTTTGTACGTGAAGTTTAGAGTGACAGGATTGCTTACCACGGAGCAGCCATTTGAACATAAAATTAGCTGATTTTATCGCAGGGACCAATTGTCGAGCTAATTAGTTGTGCAGGCAGTTCTGCTGATGAGCCAGAAACCCAAAGTGATTTTCCATGTAAACTGTGGTTTTCTGCAAAGTTGGCTGGCTTGTGGGCACCAGGCTCACCAACAACCCAAGGAAGGAAAAAATGGCTGAAGAAGTTTGCTAATTTCTATTCAGATTAGAGGAGGCTGGAGAATCTTACAGAGGAGGATCAGAGTGAAACTTAAGCTTCACACTGGGTCCATTGACCTTGAAGGGGCTGGATTCTGTTCAGAGAATTTGACAGGTCCTTTGTGTCTTTGGTGAGCTGAAGACTTGGCACAAAATGTGGAGGCGTTCTTGCCTTTGGACGAAGACTTCCTAATCTTTTCTTAACTGCGTTTTCATATTTTTTCCTCAGAGTTTCATGGTGGAATTATTTGCTTATGGTATTAATTGGAGGCGATAATCTGATGTATTATTAATTGTTTCTGGATTATCAAATGTAGACAGTTTACCTCCCAAGTGAACCTGTCATGACATTTCCTAATATTCTAAACTGAATCGTGGCTTATGGCAGGGGTGGGGGATTCACCTGTGATTCTTACATCCTGAAAATGTAACTCTTCCTCATTTAGGAATTAAATCTTTTGATCACTGATAGATTATTTTTCTTGAAGTTTGATAGACCATTAATAAATCTAAATATTGTTCTCCTGGCTACTTGACCTATCTCCTCAACTCCTCAAAGCTGCATGAAAAGTGAGCACAACCTTTCCTCTGCATAACCTTTATGGGTGAATGTTAAATTACCTACTATGTGTCAAACATAAAACAGTGTTTTAAAGTCTGTCTCTATCAGTCTCTCAGTCTGTTTGTTCATCCATCCATCCATCCATATCTTCAACATAGCTATAATCTCTAAGTATTTACCCTATTTTATCTTAAATTTCAGTTATCTAGCAATCTGTCATCTATACCCTATACGGTGTCATTTTAAAGAAAAGTACACAAAGTGAAAGATAAAAAACAATATGCAATGACTGGATTACAACGAGCGTTTTTTAGAATTGCTTCAGCTTTGATTATTTAATTTTCTTTCTGATGCACTTAGATTGCAGACAGATATTCAGTGACTCCCCATGCTCTCCGGTTAAGCCTTGGCAAGTTGTGGTTTGGCTGTGTGTGTGTATGTGCATGGGCATGTGTGTGTGTGTGTATGTGTGTTTAACAGAGAGAGGGAATAGCTTTCATTTCCAAATAACCTACCTACCTGTGCTGTTTTTGCTTCTTTTTTCTAGCATAGTTTAAATGCCATCTCTAGGCCGATGATACTCAAAATTTCTGGTGCAGAACTACCCTCTGGCCTCCAGATCCCCAGATTCCACTGCCTACTTATTATTTCCACTTACTTGTCAACATACTATTTCCTAAACTGGAGGCTTGATTCCCACTCCTCCCCCCTCCCAAACAATCCCCACAGCTTCCTCTCCTGCCCCGCCCATTGAC